AAGTCTTCTGGCAGTATGTGCATGGCATTCCTGTTTTGACCTCTTTTTCGTAGCCCGTTGAACCGTTGTTTCCTTCCTGCCTTCAGCTTATCCATATGTCCAAAAATAATACTGCGGTAAATTTGCTTTTACCCTTTCCGTCTCTTTCTGCCGAATGAGTGCCACCGCCTTTGTGTTATTTAATGGAATATCTACGGTTTTTGTATCTTAATGAATTTGTGTGTGCTTTACTGGAAACCCATCTCGTTATGTGAGAATCGACTGTTGCATCAGGCCAATACCATTCTATTATGTAGGTGCAAAAAACCTTCACATCTTTTCAACGGTCCATTAACACCTGAAAATCCTTTCTAAGTTTTGTAGTGATTCCCTTCCTCGATGTTGCATACAACTTTATCTTGTAAGTTTTTACTCGCATCGCCCGATTTAATTAAGGTTATTCAGTTATGTCCAGTTAATAAAAGTGAAACTCCAAGTCTCATTGGTTTTGTGCTTCTCTTCATTCATCGTATTAAGAAACTACAAAAGAGAGTTTCTGTTTATTGCGAGCCAGGAAATACTGGGTCAAGAACATGGGTCCACATGTAACAATGCTCCTAAACATTTGAATTAAATTACTTTTTAAATGTCATTTAAACGAGCCCTGGTGATTCCAGTAGCATAGCATGATCTGATCCGTGACAGCAGATGTTTATGCGAAAGTTAAAACACTATCATCAATTTAGGACTATTCGCGAATTTACTTCGGCCGCTGCTTACTTCAAAACTTACCAGGTGTGTGTGGTCCAATGCATAGACCTTAGTCAAGCACTTGAGACCATGTGCAAGAACCTTTTAATAGGACCAGGCTTATCCGGATTTGCACCCTCGTTATCACATAGACTATCAGAATGGTGGTTGAACCCTGATCTCCGGGCGTCAACACATTAGATCCAAGTCCTACCTTGACCGCATCAACCACGTGGTTTGACTCCACTAGGTTTGAAACAATCAAACTAGTGATAGTCCCAATCACCCCACTATTCATCTAGACCGGGTGGTGCTCTCGGACTCGTTCGGATAAACGTCTGCTGGTGTAACCAATATAATGTTCCCTACAGGAATGCTTGTCTCTTCGCTGTACTTAGTTTACATGTCGCAATTTCAGAAGTTTTGTCGCCCTTAAAAGGTAGTGATGTCAAAACCGGTTTCTTCTCAACGGTAGTGATCTTATTGGGCAACAGGTGCCACAAAATGTTGTCCAAAAATCATTTTGGGTATGCATTGTGAAGAAAAACCTCTCGGATAAATCTCAGTTTTCCCTCTGTGGTATCATTAGTACATATTCTCTGCGATCTCGTAGATAGGCCCTGAATCAAGTTTTTTCCCGAGTTCTGGTCAGAGCAGAAACGATTGGAATTCGTTTATAACCCCCCCCCACTCTATGCTCCCAAAAAAAATTCGTAGGAACACTCATTTTTCCATGACCAACACAAACGACATAATCGTCCCCCCAACCGCCCCTAACTACTTGGGCCTATGCATATCTCAAATGGGAACTCATCATGTACATAGCAAATGAAGCGTAAACTGAAAAGCTAGAAAGCACTGGACAGCTATTTCGACCTGGTTGGGCCTCACCAGCAGTGCGAATCCATCGACACAACTGGGGATCAAACCCGGGACTTCATGGGCAGAAGGCAAGCACGCTACCCACTACGTCACCGAGCAGATCATCAAACGTTTTTCATTTTCCATTTACAAGATATAGCACAACCCATCTTTGTGAGCCACGAACCCTGCTCATCTCACCACTAGCCTCCAGGGTTATGACTTGATTGGAAACATTCACAGCCTGACTTCCTACTATATACACGACGAATTCCCATTTGAAATTTACTAAAATCCCACATTACTCGCAATGCATATCTTTAATGAACAAAGCGTGAGCTGGAATGTCAATTAATAGGAGCGAAACCGGAGTCTAGTGCATCCGAGTTGTAAGGCTGAATGGATCAACTGAGGATTGTGCGTGAAGGTGAAGTTCCGAAGGATAGGCAATTTAAATCAATCAATATCATTTATCCCACACCACTGCTTACAAGTAACCGTGAGTTAAATGCGAATTAATTATTTCTCTTCCCCTTTTATGTCCAGATTATAAAAAGTTCATCTTTTCGCCTCCCCCCCTACTGAACGTTTTGACATAAATGGTGCTGTATTAACCTGTAGATGAATGACCACAAACGAGCTTGTTCGCTACTGTGTTCTTACAATCTGAAATTATTCCTGTTTGAGTAGTCATGTGAACGCAAAACAGCAAACAAGCTTGTTGTCGGTGCTACATCAACTGGCTAAATAGGACACAATTCATAACAGGTTAACGAGATGGGAAGAGGAGACAAATATCTGCGAAGGAAATCAGAATTTAAAAAGAGATGATGGACTTGTAATAGTTGATGTTTTTGAGTGTGTATGTCTGTGTGTATGCGTTGAAAGTAAAAGACGGAGGGTAGTTGGTGTGTGAGTGAATGAGTGAGAGTTCATGAACGGAGGTCATATTACCAGATTTTTTAGTGGATGGCCGTAATAAGACCAATGGTTTTACAAACTGTTTCGGGGCCCCCAAGGGGGGGGGCGTGGAGACGGATGGCAATTGCCTCAGCTGTTGACAAAATTCTTGACATACAAACTTCAAATCTGCCAACTAACAATTTGAAAAATTCTTGACCTCTTTGGATAACTCATCATTGACCGTATAGAGATGATGGAAAGCTTCAAGCACATTGACTTTGTGATTAGACCCAGTCAAATGGCTCGTAATTACCGTCGCCCCGGTCCTTGTCACCAGTGGTCAACCAAACGAAGTGATGCTGCTTGATGCGGTCAGATAGATGCCTCACCGTTCGACGCATATAACTTGCTCCAAAGGAACAGATGAATTGATAAACACAAAAATAAGGTCACATGCTGGGGTAATCTAACTTTGGTCTGCATGAAGAGTACCGATTTGGAGGTGAATATAATGAGGGGTTCAGCCGCAAAGTAGGTGAAGTTGATGGAAGATTAAATTCATCTACTCAATATTTTCACGATGTTTTCTCCCCTGAATAGGATGGAGAGATAAACACGCTTATTATTTGCTGTGTCGTTTAATGCCCTGGAAGGATATGTTATCTAACCAGCTGCTGTAGCACCGCAAACAAACTTATCTGCTATTTTGTGTTCTGATTCTTACAATGTGTATTAATAGTTTATTCGGGCAACTACCAGATTAGGGTTTGACTCCTGATCTCTGGTCATCAACACATTAGATTCACGCCCTGCACCTTGCATGAACTGCATAAACATACGAGTTACACCACAAATCGTCAAGACGCCGATAGACTGATATCCGTGGATAAGTAGTCTCACTGACTCCGTTGGAAAAATCGAAATGTGAAGAACGAGCTTGCTCTCATTATTCCATCTATTGATAAAATGCAGCACATTGGATAACTCAGAGAGTGACTTGGGGAGATGTGAAGAACAGATTGTTTGTTTGTGCTAAATAGGGATAATTGGCATGATTGTTGTTGATTGTTCGCGGTATGCGAATTCTCAGCTAGAAGGTTAAGTGGGAGTATTTTGAGCAATTGGTTAGGTTTCTCCATCGGTTGTAGGTGAAATTCATGAATTACTCATTAGCAAGGCCCATTCCGTTTCAAGCATACTTACATGCACAAACACACAACGATAAAAAAAGTTATCATTTTCTATTTCCCTAATAGCATTAGAAATCTTAGTAACCCGTGGTTAGGCATGATCTTTCAATTTATTGTTATCTGGCTTACCTTTGTTTTCTCGACGACGCATATCACTCACTCTGTTCTCACATTCCTGTGACACGGTCCACAATAGTTCCTAAAGTTCGAGCAGTTATTCTAAATCAAAGACCTCAAATGAACTAACTCGAATAGGTTGAAGCTTTTTCAATTGATCCTGCACGTAAACCAAGTACGATTCATATTCCGCCTTTATTCTAGCCAACAGTGGACCATAGTATACACAAGTTTGAATGAAAATTGTGAAAATCTCTCGATAAATCTAGAAAGCGTAAATGATCACTCAAATCAACGGGGTTACCTGCAATCGCAATGGATCCGGTTTTCCCTCGACCACACGGAATTTGGCTTTCTCTTTGTTAATACGGGCCTCTAGGATCTCCAAAAAGCGTGGTTTTTTCACCGGTGGTAACTCTGAATTAACGTAAAATCAGGCATCAAATTCTGTTAGTAGACAAAACCTACAGACAAAGGGGATGAAAATACAATCCAATTCGTTGCACGGACAATGAACGATGCGGTCAATTTTGATTGCCTAAATCTCTTAAAATATGAAATTCACCAGGCCCTTCTTAAGCAGGTTTCCTAATACTCGTATAGTATTGCGTAAATTCAATGCAATTCGAACTGATGATGCTTTGGAGAAAATCACTCGGCAAAGTTAGGTTGTCTACAATCATATAAACATTGCGAACGTTAGAGAATGCACAATGTTTACAAAGACTTAAATGGCGTTTGTTTTTCCTCCAGTGTTTATCACAGATTTCAAATGAGTTTTTACTTGTTTATTCCAGCATTCTCTGATTTCTCAAAATTATACATGGATTGGATGTATATTGTAATTACCTAGATTCATACTGAATGTCAAAACAGATAGTACTGCACGTATAATTAAGCGCCAATTAATCATTGGCAATACTTGCAGAAGAACCGTTCGAAAGAAAATCGCAACCATATAGCGAGTTAACATCTCGTTAGTAAACTGATCTGCTGTTAGATTCGTTCGATTTCGACACCATTCTGAGTCACAGGTGTACTAAATAAGAGCTTGCTTAACATAATTTATGACACAAAACAACCAATGGCTCTGATAAAAGACATACGAGAACTCATTCTCTATGCGATCGAATGCGGTTTCACTTTCGACTTCCTCTTGAAACAATATAACGCCAATTTGTTGATTATTTAACCTACTGATGCTTCCCGGGTACAGAAATGGGGCCGTTTCGTCACACGATTTCAATTAAAATTCCTATCGTGACATTTAGAAAAACCATAGAAAACAAAGATTGTTTTCGATGACTTTTTCCTTAAGTCAATAAATCTCTTCGTACGCCTCGAAGAACGGATATGCAGCTACCAAAGAACCACAGTGTGTCAACAATTTAAAAAAGTCGAAGTGTTATACAGTAATTAAAAGAATTGAAGCGCACAGCAACATCAAAAAGCCAGTGCTATACACGGGTGTTTATGATTGGTTTATTTCAGCATTTTCGGCAGATTTTCTGCAACGAGTTCATGGTTTTGAGAAATCTGTCAAGATAGGGTAAAATAGGGTGCCTGTAAGCTTTAGTGCGTGCCTTTATAAGTTTATGACTAAAACGAGTGGATGAGTAAGAAAGGCACTGATGAAGAGCAGAATAAATGGGGTGGGAAATATGAGATAAAATCCCATTGGAGAATGGTTTATAGGATTTGAGGTGTTTTGCCACCAAATGCTGTACCAGATGTTTCCGTGGTATAAGACTACATACCGACAGAAACTTGAGAGATCCGGTAATGAGATTGAGGAGATTGAGAAGATAACAGGGGACCCATAAGGCCAGTGGGGCAAAACGCAATCATAAACAAAAAGCCTTATGAGATGATTTGGATCATAAAGTGATTTAAGACGTAAAACATAAAACGTGAGCCTCCTGACTTTCAGAAAAGCGTCATTGACGTGATCAGATCAGGTGAGGTTACCGTTGAAAATAACGTCAAGGTATTTGATAGACGATTGTCAATCCATCTGGTCACTGAAGATAGATAAAGGAAGGCTGGCATTTGAAAATTCATCATATTTTTGACTTTTCAAAAGAGAAAAAATTAAGTCAATACATTTTCCGGGGTTCATACGGAGGTTCCTTTGCTCAGACCACTCAACTATTTCTGATATGTCTTGTGTAGAGTGGTTTGCAATGATGGGTTGGAATAGGGCAGTCCGAACATTATATAGGTTTTTAAATTATAAAATAGGTGTACTTGAGAACAAAGAGACGGGCTGACTAGGCAAATGAACACGTCCTCGGCTATAGCAAGGTGCCGCGGACGAATAGCTTTCCATGAACTTGCTCGTACTTTGTAGATCAGCTGGAATACCTCCTCGTCTCTTATACCCGTATTCAACCAGGCTGGCTTGTGCTTCTTGAATCTTCGCGATAACTGATCGTTCTTCCGACATAATTGCGGCACATTAGCAAAGAAACTGGTGAAATACCTTAGATAATAAGAGGAAAGGCAGTGTGTTTAGGATTAACGAAGGCCATCGTCCACTTTCGAACTGAGCACGCAGCGTTGCAGATGGGAAATTGCGATTGATCAACTTTTCCAATCATCATCTTAGTAACTCACATATAATCTTTAAAACAAAGTCGTATGAAGAGTTCCTTTTCTTTTCACTGTTGTCAGTGTTGCTGTCAGAGGCCGCTCGGTCAGATGCTTCAGGACAAATTCTTCCGGATAACAGTTACCAAAGAGTGTTTGCTTTATATTTTCCAGCTCCGGTGGTAGATAGTCGTCTGAACAAACTCCACTTGCTCGGTATGAAAAGGCTTGAACCAACTATGGCTTAAATTTCAGAGGCACAAAGCTGGCAACATGACATTATTGCCCAGTTCAAGTTGGTTTACGGTAAACAGAGCGTTTTACCACGCTCTCGTCGCATCCTGTGAATTTTACATTGATGAAATGAAAATTACATCCCGGTTTCAATTTGGACGTAAAACTGATAGCGGTATGGGCACTTTTGAAGGCATTTAAGTAGTTCTATGCATATTTGATTTTCGATCAACATGAAAATATCATTCAAACACCGACAGTAAGGTGGCAAGCTTCTTACAATCTTTTTGCAAATTTCTATTATCCAATTTGATAACAAATATATCAGCTAATAGAAGTCTAAGAAGCTCCTACATAGCAAAACTTTTAGTTTGAAGACAGATGCTTTATATGTTTAGTGCGATAATAAATCTTTCAAATTATTATTATTATTATTATTATTATCCGTTGGGATACCACGGTTGTCCTCATGGACTCTGATATAGTCACATAGGTATACATTTGTTCTCACAAGTAGCACGTTCGTAAAACACAGAAGTCACACCCAAGGACTCCATCCATAATCCGCCAATGTTCGCCATAATCAGGTATACGAATTCAATGGTACGCTTGAGACTATATTGTGCAATACTTCTCTAAACTGATCTCAATAAATTTTCAAGCCAATGAGCAACCTGATGTTAAGACGATGCACTCATGTCTATACCTTTTAAACTATAAGGAAAACCGTTCTAACGTCAATTGAATCCGTCGTTAGCTCAAGTGAATACCACCAATTGCGTTCTAGTGGGAAATCCACAAAGTGTNTGTTTCGTGCCTCAGCCGTCAACTATCACCGATTGGACCGGGTCTGTGTGAACTGCTTCCAGTCCGAATCAACCAATTTATCCGTAACCAAACAAGAGTACTTTTTGAGTGAATTACCGAGTGAGGTTGAACGTTTCGGTAGAATGGGATTTGACTATTCGTAGCCACTTCCCATCTCCCATCCACGGGAACGTAATGTCCTTGACCGGTCGAGTGAGTCTAAGACAAGAATGAACGAACCCGGCGCTAACTGACCTGGGTCGGTCGGTTGGTCATGATGAAACAAAGGGTGGGAAGTAGGAGTTAGAGGGCGTTGGTAGGTTGCATTGGTGAGGACATAAGGAAGGAATTCTGAGTGCTGCTTCTCGGGGTACCTTGTGGACACCTACCTGCAGGGAGGGCGGAAATTTCCTGGTTGGGGCTCTTGTTTGGACGATCTTTCTAGGAAGTGACCATTCAGAACCCCCATCCAAAAAGTTGGTTTCATATTGGGGTGGGGCCGACGGACCGACTTCAATAACTGCCAGGTTCATTCTCGATCCACATTCATGGTGGTGGTAGTGGGACAAAGAGCAAACCTCACCCCACCTAAACATTCATCCTCGCTCGGCAATTCACTAAGTAAGTACTTTTGTTTGATGACGGAGAAATTACTTCATTTTAAATGGACGCGGTTTGAATAGACCAGGTTCAATCGGCGACATTTGGTGGCTGAAGTACCAGCCATCTTGAGGGGTTTCTAGAGGAATTTCATTGGTTGGATTCATTCAAAGTAACGACTGAGTCGCGTGGAGCCAAACAATCCTTGAAGAAGGCGTAAACAAACTAGAATTATTAATAATAATTATTCTCGGCAGGCGTTCGTTTCACCGGCTTTCAAGACATCAGCAACAGCAGCAGCAACGCAATGCGTACAAAGTAATTAGAGGTTCAATTTTGACACGGATTAGGACTTCTTTCGAGAGAATGAGGAATAAAACCATCCTCATGTTCAACACATGCATAGAATAATCCATCTGACTATGCATACAAACATTTTCACGGAACCTGGCCTGATAAGTAGCTGCTACTGCTGTCGATTGGCGGTCATGTCCTTCAGTGTCTCCAACAAACCAGTCACAGGATCTTTTGGATCCCTTCTAGAGGACGTCATTCACATATTTTACCTAAGCCCGCTCAGCATTTCCTCATGCCTCGTCTCTGTTATCTATTGAACTCCACTTAATTTCCTACACCTAGGATGGCTACAACGAGAAATACATTGTGAGGTAGACAACAGCTGGGCATATGCAGCACATGCCCCAACCAGTGAAGCCTCATATTCCGAATTCAGTGTTTTAGCACATTTATCCCTGAAAAGTTCTCAAACACGACGACTTACTTCTACGTTACGACCACACTCACTCAATCCCAAACACACGAACCTAGGTAAGATTATCAAAACCTTAAGTTAATGAATACCTTCTACTCGCGGTTTCAATTTTTCACAACTTTAACACAGATTTGAGAACGGTAGCACAATATGTGACATGTAAAATTCATAGAAAATTCACGGTTACTTCATATTTCTCTCAGCCCTAAGTAAGGTGTCCGAGCTTTCAAAATTTGATTGTTAATTCCTTTATTGCAGTATCGTCATTGGTTGTAAAACTTCCGATGTAGTAAAAGCAAACCACTATCATTAATTCCTGACGATTTGGTTACAAATTGGGAATTTCCAACACCTAGTTTTATATCAACACTATGTGCATTGTACTTGCAAGGCGTATACCAAACGAAGTAACAGAACTTCTTAGTCTGTCAAATGCGCTCTGTGTATCCTTCATTGATTCAAACAGACAAATGACTTCATCGGCGTAATCTAAGTAGCACAGCCATTCTCCTGTCACCTATGCCACACAAAACTTTTGGAGACTATTCATTGCGTTCCCCAGTATTTCATCTGCGATGAAATGGAACAAGAATGGTGAAATAGGAATACCGCTGATGCTTATGAACTTAGTTAGTTACAGACCCTCTCTCGACCATAAGTGTGTGAGTACAATGCTGATAAGTTAACATACAACTGGGGTATTCCTTTTCGAATATCGGAACAGAAGAGAATCCCGCGATGATCTGAGCCAAAAGCTCGTTTGTTTGTTGACGGCAGATATGATGCAACTCACGGACTGGACGCAACGTGACGACGATGCGGGAGTCCGGTCTGTAGTTCTTGAATTTTGGTCTCTCTTAAAGAAATCAGTTGTCGTAGCATGACGGAAACTAATGCATTGATAACGGTTGGGATTAAACTTATCCCGCGGTGGTTTGTGTAGTCGATGCGAGAATCTTTCTTGAAAATTGGAACTATCGGTGGTTCGCTTCAAAATGATGGAATGCACTTGCAATCATTTGCTGAGTTGTAAGTTGATAATAGATTCTACGGGATCTCTACCGCCACCATCCTGAAAAGAGAGAATGAAAGCCCTTCAGGTAACGCCGCTTTTTCTCTTATCAGAGCTTGAATGAAAGGCCGTACTTCTACCTCTTTCGAGGATCATATGACACTGCCCACGTAGCTTCCACTGCAACAGATGAGATAACCCGGTTGGCACCTGGCCAACTGAGCTAATCTTTGAGGTACTCTACCCAGCGATCAAGCCATTATTCCATGTTATACATACCCTGTCTCCTTCACAGTGTTTCACTAACTGTGGTTCGTCGACCTCCCGAGGTGCGCATCATTTGGGTCAGTCTTTGAAAGCTCCCTAATGCAGCTGTAAATTCTATTCCACTAGCTATTTTCACCCACCGGTTTTCAAGGTTCTTCTTGAGACTCTTCAAAACGTAACGTGAAAGACGCCAACTACTCCTTTTTTGACCCTAGTCAGTTGGGTTCGCTTCTTCTCCATCGGGGTTACTAACTCGTGAAATACACAATGACTTAGACTGGCTTCAGGCTGAGACCGGCGAGCGGCGTTCAATGCGGAATGCATTGTTCGTCTTATCTTCACACATCTTTCATCTACACCACCACCTTACAGCGCGCTCATTTCATGCAAAAGCACTGACTCAGCGTTCAAGAACGGATGAATCATGTAAACGATGATGGGCCAATGGAGTTTGCCGGTTTTGACGGCAACCAGTGAGTCAAAGGGTAAAGTGCATCAAAACGAATGCTTGATAATACTCAAGGCAGATGGTTTAATGAGACTCACTTTTGTGTTGACTCATGTCAACGTTGTTTATTACTACATGGTCAGTGTGCATCACTGGAGTGTCATATCGCCGTCCGTCGAGAACTTTACCGGAAGTTGGCCCTGGATAGAAACAGATGACTTTTTGCGCAGAATTGAAGAGGTCGATCACGGTTATCTATTCGCAGACACAGCAGAGCACAGCGATCGCCCATGCAGATTTCTGCGCTCTTAAATCAATTGCAAGTACAACTACATCAGAGCTTCGTTCCAACCGAAGGACTTCCGCAAATTTGTTGTAGAATACGTTTTTTGTGCATCCCAACTGTAGGTGTTCGGCGCTTAGACTGAGACGATAATCAAGCACTTTTCAGAGTTGTTTTCCTTCCTGATACTGATTGCCCGCTGCAACCATGTCGCACGTCAGTTGATGTGACGGTAATCCAACCCACAAATGAGGATTTGGCTTGATTATTTAGTACAAGACCTACTCCAAACTGACTTACTGAGTGAGCGCGGATCAAACACCTCGAGGAAAAATCCGACGTACCCTGAAATCCTGTCTCCGATGCGCAACAGACGTCAATCCGCAAGGAAGCCACTTTACGCCCAGGAGGGTTTCTTGATCTACCTAGTTTGA